GTTGAATAATATTGTGAGTTTTTGGGTATTTTACTGTTTAACTTTTTTGGGAATACTAAAAGTAGTATTCCCAAAATCCAACCAAACGAAGCCCTGAGTTTTTGGGTATTTTACTGTTTAACTTTTTTGGGAATACTAAAAGTAGTATTCCCAAAATCCAATCAAACGAAGCCATAGTTTTTATAATGAGTAAACGACTTTTTCTTAACAAAATAATGGTTAAATAACACTTTCTCACCTACAATCTTTTAAAATATCACTCTATTATCTAAATTTATACTCTATTTTCGATTTCGGTATTTTTACGACCTCACACCACTATTATTATCTTTCTCATTCATCACTCATCAAAACCCCTCAAACCTTACTCCTGTTGACCCCAACAATCGTTGAAAATCGAACGATTAGGGTTTGTACAACTGTCACTCTTAAGTCAAATTTCGATCAATCTCAACCACCAAAAGATTTATCTGTCTCCCCTCTTTAAAAGATCTAACAACCTAGACTAAGTTTGCTCTTTGTTCGTTGCCAGAATATAAATTTGGATAATGAAGTAGTATTTTAAAAGTCTCTTAGTGAGAAAGTGTTATTAAACCATTATTTTGATGGGAAAAAGTTGTTAACTCTTTTTATAACACAAAAAATTGACCTATTTATAATTTTTTTGACAATAAATTGATTTAATGAAGGGTTGATATTTATAATTTGAAATTTTGAACAACATATAAATCCGGAATAATTTAGAAAAAAACAAAGTTGTGAGATTGTTGAGTCATTATAGAAAACACGCGAGGACATTATGGACATGAAAGTTCGGTTTGTTTGGTGAGCCACTAAGAAATAAGAATGAATGAATGAATGAATTTTAAAATTTGAGAATTGCTTTGATACAGTAACAATAATACTATTGACAAGGATATTTTAGGTATATAATATGCATATATTCTTATTTTCAAAACCGTTGATTATATCGCCATTTACATAAATAAATAATATTTTGTTTTTTATTTATTTTAAAATATAATTATAAAATATTGTGAGAAAGCAGGAAAAGGGTGCCTCCTTTTAAGCTGGGTGTGATGTGATTAGGACTTTGGTTGAAGAGGGGGGAAGTGTCAGATTCTGTTCATGTCAACTCAAATCCCAAGGAATGAATCAGACGGCTACAAATCGTTATGTAAAATCGTGTGATGAGAATGTCGTGTTTTCTTTTTAGATGGTTGTGCTCTACGTTCGATTGCGTGGGCAATAGAGACAATGGACATATCAAATTTAGGAAATACAGGTGAGTTTGGTTTATTATTTTGAATAGGGTTTTAGAAATAATATTGGGTAGTTGAATAGAAGAGTATTACGAAGTAAAATTTAAAAATTTATAAAAAAATCTCTAGGTTTATTAATTTAATTAAACACCTCAATATATAAAATAACAAAAATACCCCCACCACCTACACTGCTAGATTCCGGTCGCCACCGTTAGAATTTGGCCAAAAAATCACGTTACGACATAGACAGGTCGGATCTGTGTCGTAACGCGTCGTTATGGCCTGTTGTGGCTGCGACGGCCAGAGAAGGCCAAAACGACGGTCATCGGCCAAAGATATGGCCGTCGTTTTCGCTCAACGACGGCCAAGATTTGGCCATCGTTGACCGTCAACGACGGCCATTTCTTTGGCTGTCACTAAAGGCCAGATTGGTGAATTATCGGCCAGTTCCGGTTGGTAATTCATCGTTGTGGCAGATTTCGGCTACCACCGACGGTGGTTGCCGGAATCTGGCAAGTATGGGTCACGGGGGTGTTTTTGTTAATTTTTAAACTTTTTTCAGGGGGTATTTAATGAAATTAATAATCTTATGGGGTCTAAAAGTAATTTAAAAAAATATGATAATATTTTTGGAATAATGTGCCAAACATTATTTGAAGAATAGGATTGGGAATATGGGCAGAAATAATAAGCCAAACATGCCTATCAATGTTAGACGAAAATATCATATCATCCAAATATGCTCGATATACTCTATAATTTTCACATTCTCTAATAATTATACTTGATCATTGGAAATATAGAGGTTGACGAAATACTTTTATCTCATCCAAGATTGTAATAATTCAAATCCAATCGGTATAAGATAAGAAGGGTTCACCTGTTTGTGGGTAACTCAGATGTCAGGTCAAATTAAAGATAATGTGGATAGATACATGATATCAAGTTTAATTCTTGATCTGAGAATCTACTATTTAAGTGGGGGCGTGGTGGAGGATGAAATTTTGATTGCAATCGACGAGTGGACGGAAGAGAGAGAAAAGAGGAAGAGGGGACAAAGACGACCATGGGATGTGCATGTTTTTATTGCACAAACCCCTTCATTTCTTTCTTTCTCACATACACAAAATCATTAAATAAATAAATACTAATTAATTAAATGAGGTCCACTCCACCCCCATTTAATTTAATTTGGCTTTAATTAAGCCTCTAATGTCTCTCTAACCCCAAACCAATCTTTGCTTAATAAATACAATTTGTTGACTATAATTAATCTTACCTTTTAAGTACACACATCACTAACATACGTATGTATACCATCAATCCAACACGTGGTGTACTTGTAATTTCTTGTATTTATTTTATTTCAATATAATAATTTTATCAACCTATACAATTTTAGTTTATATACACAAACGTCACATATATACCTTTCATTTTATATATAACATTTTTCTTACCTGTCTCCACTAAACAACAAATCAGAAAAAAAAATTTATTTTTTATAGATTTATTTATAAAATTATATTTTTAAGTTTTTGTATATGTTCTTTATTTAAAGAGGTTCCTATTGCATTCTCAAATTCTATAGTATACCAATTCTCTAAAAATTGTATACGTAAAATCAGCGATGAAACTATGAAGAGACAAGTAGGGGATGGTTACCCAACCGAAGAAAACAAGATTTTTAGTTGATAATCTAAAATTACATGTTAAATTTTTTTTTTCTATGAGCGGGATGTCTAGGCCAGTTCATGCATCTCAACTAATCTCCGAGGCCCATTTAATACCATAAAAACTTAATATTTTACAGTAAGTCACAAATATGATAAATAACTCTAAATTAGTTTGAATTCAGAAAGTTAATAAATAATATAAATTTTTTGTAATCGTCAAACCAACCCTACTGTGTTTACATGTTTAAATTTGTCCTCATTATTTGTAGTCCCTATTCCTATAATAAGATGCATGTACATATATTCTATCTATAGCAAGCATATTGATGGGACATATTTTTATTGACTAGTTGTTGCATAATTCAAGAGAAAATATATTCTCAATATTTTGATTTGCTTTTTGAGACAAGACTTTAATAACAAAAGAGGAAATATTTTATTGTTGCAAGTAAATAAAAGCATAAAGTAGAGTGTAACTAAATTACCTTAATTACCAAGTTAATTAACCTTCAATTAAGAAACATTAACACATTCCATCTTAATCTTGTCACTTTCCATCCCACAAAGCAAACACATTCTCTTTCTCTCTCCCACACAAAGACTCTAATAAAGAGGGGTTGGATGTTTGGGATAGTGTGCTAATCGTAGTCGCTTAAGCTAGTTTTGTTGGGCTGTTGTAGGCATTGTGTATAGACACAACATAAACACGAAGCAAAGAAAAAGATAAATTTTTCTTTTTTCTATATAGAGAAAGAGAGAGGCCTATTATACATTCGCGTTTATACGCGAATTATACGGCTAGCCGTATAATTCCCGTATAAAACGCGAATTCACGTATGTTATGAGGCTGCCGTATAATTCGCGAATTATATACCCTATCCGTATAATTCGCGAATTATACCCGAATTATGGCCGAATTTTTGCCGAATTTTTGCAGACAAAAAAATATTACATGATAAGGCAAAACGACGTCGTTTTGGTGGGGTTTGACTAAATTAAAAAAATCTCCTTCTCCTCTTTCTCGGTTCTCTCTTCCACAGTCTTCATCTCTTCTTCAAATCTTCAACAATTCACTCTTTTTTCTTCATCTCTTGACTCTGAGTCTGATCTCTTCTTCTCTCTCTTTTTAAATTTTAACTCTCTTCTCCAAGCTTTAAGTCCAAGACTTCAACTCTTCAAGCCTCAAGCTACACACTTCTTCTCTTCTCTTTTTACTCTCTTTGAATCTTGATGTTGGTGATTTGTTTGTGTTTGTGTTGGGGTGTGAGTAGTAGTAATAGGGGCTGTGTGATTGATGGATTTGTTATGTTGGTGATTGATAGATTTGTTTGAAACATGTTTGATGAAATGCTTGTGAGAGTTTATTTGGTATCTGTTTTAACATAATATTTCATTTATTTCTGTTTTTTTTGTTGTATGGGTCAAAATGAAAGACTAAAGATCATCTATAAAAGCAAAGGTAAGGCAAAACAACAAAAGAAAGCATGAATTCATAAAATAATATTGTCGGGCTTGGATTTGGATTTGGCAGATACTTAAAGAAGAAGAAAAAAGCAACAAACCATCAGTTTACAACCAACGCCAACTGCAAATTGTAAACCCATGTGCACTTTGTCATGTTTTTAGATTCATAACACTATTATTATTTGACCTTTGAATGTACTGTCCAATTAAATTCAGAAAAAAAACAACTATACTAATTGGAATCCAAACTTTGTATGCGTAGCTATAAAATTAAGGATAAATACTAGTCTTAGTTATTGTTCAAATATACTTTAAATTAAAAGGAAAATAAATTGTAGATCGACCACAATGGATTATTTAAATGGGGATGTTTTGAAAAGTGCTAAAACCAAGATTGCTATTCCGGATTTTTTCAAAACGTATTATTGACAATGTGTCGTATTAAACCCGTATATATCCGAATCGTATTTTTTCCGTATCCGAATTTTATGACCGAATTTTTACAAACGTATTTTTCACCATTTGCCGTATTATACCCGTAAAATTCCCGTACCGTTTTTTTGCCGTACCCGTATTTACTAACTAGGGAGAGAGGGAGGGGGAGAGAGAGAGGTCAGCAACAAACGGCACGCTTTGGCCTTGCTTCCTGAACTAACCAACCAACCTAACGTTTTTATTTGGGGAACCTTTCTCACAATTCTGGTTGCGTGTGTGTTATGCTTCTTCTTCTTCATCATATTCTTCTTGGCCAGCCCCTTCTTGTTTTGTGTTATTGAGTTTAGCGAATATAGAATCTCTATTCTCGTCTTTTATAGCAAACAAAATATATCTAGTTTGTGGTTTTGCTTTATGTTGTTCGTTGAGTCTTCTTCTTTGCTTTCTCTTTTGTGGGTTTGAAGATCTTGCATCTGGGTTTTAGTTTAGAAGGTTGAAGATGTGGGTTTTATTGGTTTTGAGCTCTGGTTAAGCATTTTATTAGGTATGTGAGTGACTGTATTTGGCTTTTGGTTTGTATTTTGTTGTTTTAAGTTTCTAATTTTTAGTGTTTTTTTTTTTCGTTTTTGACAGTTTTTCCTGTTAAATTTTTGGTGTTGAGAGTGGAAGAGAAGGTTGGTTTTAGTGTTGACATGGAGGGTTGTTCAAAGAATGGTGAGGCTAGTCGTCAACTGCTGGATTTGATTCCTAAAGAAAGAGAATGGCTTATGATGGGAGATGGAGAGAGAAGCCAGAGGCCTTTAGAGGAGAAGAAGCTTGAACTGAGGCTTGGTCCTCCAGGGGGGGAAGATTGGTCTATGAATGTGAAAGAAACCATAAAAATGTCAGAAAGGGATCACCATGAGTCTCTTCTTTCTCTAGGCTACTTCTCCTCCCTCACTAACAAAAACAATCACAACAACAACAACAACAACAATGGCTTTTCATTTCTTCAATTCCCATCCATCCCAACAACATCAACAATCGCTACTGCAACTCCACATAGCTTGCCTGTTATGGCAAAGGAATCCTCAAAGCCCTGTTGCACTAAAGTTGTAGACTTGCAGTCTGCACCAGAAAAGAAAGCATTTTCTTCCCCATCTCCTGCTAAAAATATAGCTATGCCCACCAGCTCTCAGAAAAGGTACTTCAGCCTTTTTTCTCCCTCTCTCTCTATCGCTCTCTTTCTGTATTCCTTTTTTAACATTTCTTTGACAGCATATTCGCTCAGATGGTCACATTGTAATTTGTAAGCTCTTGTCTTTGTGGTCCATTCATATTTTGTTTTCAGTTCTTCTGTATTTTCACTTGGTTGTCTCATTTTTGTGCTAGAGTGTCACAGTTTTTACCCCCTTGTTTGAAAATTTACTTTTTAGTTTATTGATGTTATTTCTATGCTTGTTTAGGTAATCAAAACTTTAACTCATCTTCCTTCCCTTTTTATGCAAAGTCTCTTATATTTTTAGTCTTCTTGATGGCTTCTTGAAAATAGGACTGCTCCTGCTCCACTTGTGGGTTGGCCTCCAATTCGTTCATCCAGGAAGAATCTTGCAAACACAAGTGCTTCTAAACCACTTACTGAGTCTCCAAATGTAGTCTCAAACAAGGGTATTAATGAAAAGCCAGTTGAAGCTAACAGGAAGAGTCTGTTTGTGAAGATCAATATGGATGGTGTTCCTATTGGCAGAAAAGTTGATCTCACTGCCAATGACAGCTATGAAAAACTCTCAACTGCTGTTGATGAACTCTTCAGAGGTCTCCTTGCAGGTGATCTACATAATTTTGACCTTTTCAGATACAACCCATGTGGTCAAACTTTTAACTTTGTGGTAAAAGTGAGCAATAATGTTTTTATCTAGCTTTGCCAAAACTATGCACATGCCGTAGATTGTTTTGATTTGATAGTAATGTCCTTGTAGTAATTTTACTGTATTCGCACAGAGAATATGCCACCAGTACAACCTGGATTTAATGGTTAATAATCCATAAATCCTGTAGAAATTTGATGATGCCTACGTCATTAGCTGAAATCAATATTATTTAAAGTTAATCATCTTGGTTAAGGTACAACTAAGGAGGAGACAGTAGGGGTAATCTCTCTCCAAATTGCTTATGTCAAGGGCAAAGTTTTGGACTATTAGTTTGTTTGCTTGCTTAATTTAGGTCCTAGATGTATTTTAATATGACTTTTGAGTATATAATTAGATTATCTATATCTCATTTTGTTTGTTTCTTTGTGTCTCTGTGTAGCTCAAAGAGATTCCTGTGCTGGTGGAATGGTGAACAAGCAAGAGGAAGAGAAAGCGATTACCGGTGTATTGGGCGGAAATGGGGAATATACTCTTGTTTATGAGGATAATGAAGGGGACAGGATGCTTGTTGGGGATGTCCCATGGCAGTAAGCATCTCTATCACTGTTGATCTGTTTCAATTTTTTTATCTTATTATATCTCATATTATATTCCTATACTTGATACTTTCGCTTATGATAATACATTAGTGTATCGTTCTTTGTTGTTTAGTTTGTCCGCGAAAACAGCATTAGATTCCTAATCTTGTTAAAATGATTCCCTCTTTTAGGCCGCTTATTTTGTTTGTTGTCTATGTATTCCAATAATTAAAACCAATGGCATTTAGCGATTGTCGTTTTGCCGGCGACGTGTTTTGGGCTTCTTGGTAACCTGGTTTTTTTTAATATGGAATTTGCAGTATGTTTGTATCAACAGTGAAGAGGCTGCGAGTTTTGAAGAGCTCTGAAGTTTCGACCTTAACCCGTGAGTGTACCTAATCACTTCAACAAAGAACCTAATGTTGATTAATTTGTATGATTTCTGTCCTTTAATCAGAAATTTGTTGTATTGTATTGCAGTTGGAAGCAATAAGCAAGACAAGTTACTAGCTCGGTCCTGCATTGAAACGAAGAAAGAGTTTTTTCTGTGAAGATTCTCCACTAAAGTTTGAAGAAGAGAGACTTTGATTTGTGTTCTCCTTTTGACATTTTGTTTCCTTGTTTTGTATGAACTCTGTTTCAAGCGCAGTAAATATAATATATATAATCAAGTAGCAGCTATGTTATGTGTAATTTTTGACATCTTCCCATTATCCTATTATCTTAAAGCTTTTTGGTGTATAATTTTATATGTGTTTTTTCTTCTTATCTAAACTATTCAATTGAACACAGCCAATCTAAACTTTTCAATTGAACACAGCCAAAAATGAACTGTGCTTTTGAGTGACACTAAGCACCATGGTTAGAACATTTCAGAGTAAATTTGACTTGTCTTTGCTCTTCAAGAATAATGGGTTGTAAAGCTCCTGCTCTTTTTCTTTTTAGATTCCTTGAAAGCTCTGGCTTATCAGCTGGCAAGTTCTTGAGCTATTCAAAGGATCCTTTTGGCTTTGGGTGGGGAGAAAGTTGAAAAAAAAAAAAAAAGTGATTCCCTTTTGTTCAAAATATCCCTCTTTAAGCCGTCTCTTGATAGCAATGTCACTAAGTGATAAACACTTCATCTCTGGTTAATATTTTAAGATTTGATTATTGTTACTTCTGATCAAAAAGGGTGAATTGAATGGCCTAGATCCTTTGGTTTGGTTGGTGGGGTGCATAATGGTGAAAGAGCACAAGAAAAATTGGGTAAAAGTTGAAAGGAAAAACCATATGTTTTGGCCTTGGGGAGGCTTGAAAGGTCATTGTCATGGAGAATTGCCTAACCTGGGAAGAAAAATAAGACTAGTCTAAGTCCAAAAGAATAGTGTGCTCTGTGTTTTGTTGTGTGGCAAGAGATGTTTGGTTATTATTCTATTCTTTTCTCTTTTATTTTTCGTTCTCATTCTTTTCTTCGTGGGTTAGATGAACCATTCACATTATACGCTAACTAGAAGGATTCCTATCGTTGTTTTCCCATTATAGCCTTCTAAGTTAATCTACGTTTAATTCGCTAGTAATGTAAGATATGATTGATAATACGGGATTTCTAATATTGCTTTCGTTTTATACACTAACTAGAAGGATTCTCATCACCGTTTTTCCATTTTAGCATTATAAGTTAATCTAGGTTTAGTATATGATTGATAATACGAGATTCCTGATGTTGCTTCTTGAACTTTCTTTCTTCATTAAAATGAACTCAAATTTGAAGCAATTAATCTTAATTACCTTGTACAGCATATTGCAATAATATATGGTCACATGTTGGAGCTAGGGCTGGAAATTTAGGGAAATTTAAGTGTCTAGAGTAGCTTTAGCTATGAAGACAGTAACTTGTACATTCTTGATCAAGTCAGACACGTCAACACCACATGGATATTTGAGATTTCTTTCTCAATGGGAAGATTGCTACTGACAAGATTCTTGACTTTTAACACCATATAGACATTTGTGTTTCTGTCTCAATACAGTGCACATTCTTAAAGCAGTCAGGCAGGTTTGGCTGCAAACCTTGATATATGCTTAATTTCTGGTAGATGGAAGCTTAAGGTTATGTAATCCATTCCCTTAGCCGGGCAAAACGCAAAACTAGAGGAAACTCTTGGTGGAGACTGTTGTGATACTGACGTGCAAATGGTTCGTCTGACTTTAGTATAGGAGAGAAAGACTAAACATGGAAAGCTCTGCCTCAGGATAACTTCCAGGCCAAGTCATTCTGTATATACTCATTTTTCTATAACGTTTATTTCTAGAGCCTGGAAAAAATGAAAGTTGCATTCCATAATCCATTCAAGCAAATATATAACATAAACTTAATGCTCAGAATATATTTATCTCCTTTAATTGCAGATCTTCTGTGAGATCACAACCTTAATGGGGACAGTGATAATTAAGCCCAGGAGCTGCAGGTTTGCAATAATCAAATCTGGGAGTCATTAATACTCGAAAGATTTGCAGAAGTTACAGACGATAAATGGTGAAAAGACATTCAACTGCAAAGATTCATTAGACTCATCGCCAAATCAAAAAATTTACAGCAGTAATATACTTAAATTAATTACCACCTTTAATGCTCACCAATTTATTATTTGATTTGATCTTTCTGTCACCATTCTAGCTGTTCGTGGTCTAAGTTGAGCATAATTTTGTGTTTGATACTTGTGAAAATTTGACAGTGATGATCAGTTTGAAGTTGTCTTGAATAATATTTACAGGGGTATACAAACTCTTAGATATAAACTCATATAATATATAGTATAAATATTCTATCATATTATATTATTCAGCAAGATTATAATAACTTTATATCACCAAATCGGATTTGGATTTTGGAAATCTATCTCCACTTCAAATGCAGTAGAGTTATAGAGAGAGACTGGGAGTATTCTCAACACCAGGCTGATGGCTTCATTGTCACTTGAGCAATAGCAACCTTTCATTGACTTCATCAATTTTGATTACTTTTATCATTCTCAAAACTAACTTTCTTCGCTGAAGATATAAAATATTAACTCTTGATATCAATATATCGATACAAATCCAATGTTAATTAATCCTTAAGTATGGTAATATTAGTCTGAAAACATATGTAATGAAAAAATATTGCCAATTGAACCACTTAGTTTGTGGTCCGATGACAAGATCTTAGGTTATTCAAAGGCCTTGCGTTTGTGACTTATCTAGTCATTTAGGTTTGTAAGGTGTTCAATGAACCCCGATGATTAGTTGAAGTACACATAAACTTATTTAGACACTCCGGTCACCAAAAGAAAAAAGAAAAAACAATATTGCCAATTGACCACCAATTTTCACAAATAATTCCAAAACCCTTCAAGCTTCGTAGGGAAATAGATTAACCGATAAAAGGATTATCCCCTTAACCACATTGTTTTTAGAGAAAATTGCTGATCTCTTCCAAGTACTATTAATACAAATTCTTCTAGTTTCCAGTAATAATAATAAAAACAATAATTATTCTTGATTACAAGTAATTCTTATACAAAATTATTGAGCGCTCTAAAAGTAGAATTTGAGACATTGCCGGCAGGGCATCTATTAAAAATAAAAAATGTAAAGCTAAATTCTATAATGCACCAAAACCACAATAACGATAAACCTGATTTTTCATTCACACAACATAGAACAATATCCAAGAATTAAGTCTCAAGATTTGTAGTTAATTACAAGGACATATATATATATATAATTCTAAAAGGCCTTATATTAAATTGATCTAAAAACATTAGAAACTGGAGATTATAATACAAACAAGCTTTTATATTTTCTCCTCCAAACCCTAATTAAAAAATCAAATATAGTGAAGAGAGAAAGAACAATAACTTGTAATACGAATAATACATAAACTTAATGTATACCTTTTTCTTTTTCTTTTTCTAGTTAGCTGCTGCCTGGCTAAATCCTGTATGCCATGTACATTCACCATAAGTCTGATCAATATGCCGAAGTGAAGAGTGGGTGAATACATGTATGTAGGAGTCCGTGTATGCTCCAGCTCCACCATACACGGCAGCGGCTGCGGCACCACCAAACATGAAAGAGTTTTAGAGTGGAAAATGCCTTGTGGATAGCCATTGAAAGTGAGTCTCTAGGTCGCTCTCTCCCCCTGTGTCCTTATGCTGTATTTTTTTTATATGTTTTTTGGTGTTTCCGGCTTCTGTATTATGGGGGATTTGAAAGGTCACGTAAGTGGTAGGGTTTTTGTAAGTGGGGTTTTGTTTTGGTACAACTTTTTTTTCACCTTTCCTTAACGCGTTTTGGATGACAGTTGTTTTATGTAAAATTCAAAGCAAAAATATAATATTTACTCCATTCGTGTAAAGTATGAACTATTACAAATATCATCAATATTATGTTTGAACATACATATAATCTTTCTCATATCCTCGTACGAAGATAAGGGAAAATTTGTGTCACATTCTCGTATTCTCAATATCTCGTCGATATATATATATATATATACACACAATAACGATAACGATGATGATAACGATAACGAGAGAATGATAACATAATTTGTCGATATATAAAGGGGTATTTTCTCATATCCTCATACGATAATAAAGGAGAATTTGTATCCATTCTCGTTTCTCAATATCTCGTCAATATATTATATATACACACATACAATACGATAACGAGAGGAGATAACGTAATTTGTCGATATATAAAGGGGTATTTAACTAATCTTGATAGCTGTATACTACATCTATAAAATATATGGCATTTGCCATTATCTTTAATGGTTGTGACAGGGAAACCTTCGCAAAATTTTTCAACCGTGATTTCATTCCCCTTTGAAAGAGTAGCAATATATGGGCACACCCACTTGCTATTGCATATATTCTAATGAGGATCTTTCTCTCTTTGTCAAAATACAATCAATACCTGTTTTTTTTTTTTTTTTTTTAATGACGGGGTGTTCAGATCAGTTTATATGTACCTCAACTAATCCTCTGAGACCTTGGAATTGTCAATCAGATAAGAACTTTAGCAACCGAGGAAGGATTCAAACTCAATATTTGTTAAGTCTCATTCCAGCCCTCATGTGTTAAATTTCAATTCGCAAAACAGATTTGAATTCTACAAATATGGAATAATTTCCTAATCTCAAAGTGGGATTTACAAACTAAGATGTGATAATAATAAAATGAGTGTAAGAGAAGTTAATAATTGAAATGTCTTCAAATACATATCATTTCAAGGTTGCTTTTTATTGGATGTTTGTCGAGAGAGCATTGTCGTTTTCAGTGGTGAGCAAGTCTCCACCATGTCTTTATAAAATTCTTCTGCAAAACACTATTGTCAAAGATGAATGCCTAAGTGATGATTATTTCTTATACAGCTACCATGGCCGTCCATCAAAATATTCTTCCAATGTGACAGACAGGCATCATTCATTTCTGTCTATTGGTTGCAATATGAACTCTCACTTAACTTCCATATCAAGCAATTAACTAAATTGTCTATCTCATTTGTATTAGCGATAAAGTTTTGACTAATAAGAGTAAGTAAGTAACTTCTTTTAAAGATACTAGACCTCTAACATATGCTGTAAAAGTAAGCTCTTTTTATTAGGGCTTAGAGTCTGTCCTCCTAATTCAAACCTTAGATATCATCCTTTTAAATGAGGTAGGAGTAGGGGTGAAATCAAGTCAAGTATTTGGGTACTCGAACTCGACTCAGGTGTTACGGTACCGAGTTCGAGTTCGAGCTTGGTCGAGCCTGATGAATCGAGTTCGAACTCGAACTTTGTACCTAAAAGTCAAATTCAAGTTTTAGTCAAGCTTAATTGAGTTTTTTCGAGTTTTAGTCAAACTTAATTGAGTTTTTCCGAGATTTAGTCAAGCTTTTTGTATAGTAATCGAACTCGACTCGTGGGATTATTCGAACTACTCAAACTCGAACTCGAACTCGACTCGACTAATGCTAAGTCGAATTCAAGCCAAAGCCGAGCTAAGGTTTTCACCCCTAGGCGGGAGGGTGGTATATATTACATATGGTGTCCCTGGGGCTGAGAAATAAGACTTAACTGCAATTACTGTCATAATGTATACATTGGGGTTATTCCAAACTTTTTCTCAGGCTTTGAGCTGTTCATTTTGTACTTTTTACATAAGTTAGTGTATTTAGCAGCTCTCAAACTCAAAATCAAATGCTTGTTCTGATCCTTCTATGGAAAACATGCTCATAGCAAATAGCTAAACGAATGCAGCAGGCTCAACAAACTGATGTACAATCAGTCGATTATAGTATAAGAATATTTTATATGAACAAGAAGAAATATATATGACTGGAGTTGCACAATAAAACAGTAGTCTGCAATTTGAGGGTTATCTGTAATTAGAATGTACCCAAAAAAAGAAACTTGATTTTCCATTTTATTGAGTTCATCAGAAGAATTGCAGGCCGCAGCATAAAAGCATGGCTGCTTCCAGGTCCTGCTTGTAAGAGTTCAATCCACATGTATAACAAACTCTGCCAGCCATAGATCTAAAAATTCATAGCAACAATCCTATACAGAATTCAGAAATGAAAAGCAAAAGGTTCAAAATGATTAGAAGTGAAGGCGGACAAATTTGGAACGAACATTCAACAAAAATGCAGATCATTTTCAAGACTGATCTTCAAGGTACTTGGAGTGTGACGCAGCAAGAAGGGCAGCCCCAATGCCTGAACCGTCATTAGCGTGCTCAATGACTATGCTTTTAAATACATCCTCTCCAAGCAATTCTTCTAGGGTATTCTCCAAGCATTTGCTAAATTCAGTGTAGTGTTCATACAATCCGCCATCCATGGCTATCACTGTCTTCTGTTGATCCCCATCCTTTAATGTATCTCTTCCCATTTTCTTCAGGACACCCAAGATCCCAGCAGCTGCAAGACAAGCCCCACGTGTGGCAACAATGTTGCAAAGCTCAACTATTATTTTGCGCACTCTCAAGGAGGTATTAGATATCTGCAACAAAAGGGGGAAACGAAAAAACATAAATATATATACGCATAAAAATATTTCAGCAGTTGATTATTTATTTTACAAAGAGATTAAATCTCTTTAATCTCTGTCACAGAAACTGGAATGGAATTATGGAAGCCTCTTGGACCCTCGTATACTGACTCTACAGCTGTAAATAAAACGAATAATAGGAACTGTACATACTCTATCAAGGACAAGGCCATACAAATGGAAGCTGGGGTGAAGAAAAAATCTGAGTAAAACACAAACACCTGGACAGGATTTCAAGATTTAGAAAGTACCTCTAGAACCTCCTTCAATTTGTTATCAACCACTTTGAGATCAGAGGATGCGTCATGATGCATAGCTGACGTATCAGGCGTCCTGCAATTCAATCACAATGTAACCATTATGCAGGTCTTAATTCTTTTATCATTACATGAATCCAAGTTCAATGATAAGATAATAAAAGTAAAAAAAACAAACGTTAAGTTAGTACAATCTAAAGACAAAGAATTGATGATAACAACGAGTGGTCACTGTAGAGAAATAGCCATAATTAAAGAGAAACTGGGCAAGTTAACGTGAAGAAATTTGGGAATGGGTTATTTTATCTTCGGATTACATTATCTAGAGATATTAAAACCTTCTCTTAAAGAAGTTGAAAAATACCCTATCAGCCTTGCAGTCTAGGCTTATCCTCTGTCAAATTTATATGATTTCACATTCAACTCTTCTCGCCAACCCCTGCAGTGTAAAAGCTGCAACATGCTTTTCACCTAAAGTTGCCTATTCTTCTTTCCATCTTCAATCAACATCTAAATTTCCCTCTCTAAGCCTCTCTTCTAAACCATAGCAGAGAGAGGAGCAAGAGCAAATGCCAGTGTTATCGAAAGAAACTCCTTATAAAAATAAAAACAATGGTCAAATGAATAACCTGTGGGAATTACCTCAATACAAAAGGCTCTTTAAGCTTTGGTGGAACAGTGTCACCGAAAATTGCAGTTTCTTCAGCCATCCTCAATAAAACTCTGCGTATAATCTCCCCCAAATACATACCGGAAATCATTTTCTCATAAATCTGTCAATCAAATAAAAAAATATAAGAAAATATGTCATATTTGTTAGAGGAACTAAAAAATAAGAAGTTTAGAAGTTTACCTGGTCACCAGGGTTTAAACCCTCAGCATCCATTGCATGATCATAGTCTGTTAGTGGAAGGTGTGATGACCTAAAGTTACCCCACTCCATGTTGATAACCTGCAATCAGTCATTGACAGCACCTCAATTACCATTCTCCTCCTTGTTTGCAGTTTGATAATTCAAACTCTAGATGCATTCTTCTCAATGGCAAATTGCTAGATAATACACAGGGTAAAATTTATAATAGAATTGGAAAATTAAAAAATATCCAAAAATAATTACTAACCATATCACCAGATTTAGATGGACCATGCCATTTTGGAATTGCTTGTGCACGCTCCACATATGCTGCATTTGAACCAGTGCCTAAGATCACAGCAGCAACAACATCATTGTTGTTGTATCTTCCTCCGGCTAGTGTTCCAACCGTGTCATTGACCTAGTATTAACAATGAATATCATCAAGACAATATTTCAAAAGCAAAATTTGTAAAACAATTGCACACCAGATAGACGTTTGAACATAAAACACTGGAAAATCCTCATAAGTTTGCATAAAACTCCTCAAAGTAAATTTACAACTTCAACTTACAAGAGCTGATACACACATATCGAGGCCTAGTTTTTGCATAGCTTTTGACAATTGTGCCACCACATCTTGTCCAACCTATTAAATTAAAGTTAAGTACAAAATCAATAGGAAAATAGTGTTAATAGTTCACCAAAACAAAAATAAAAAATAATAATCAATAGAAAGAATATAATGGCATTCTTTGAAATAAGTACCAACCACGTCATCTATAGAGAAGCCTTTTGTCCACCTAAGCAGGGTTCCAGAAGTGATTGATGTTTGCATCACAGGGAAAGAGAAGGTAAAACCTAGCTCCCTCTGCCTACCCGGAGGAAGTTTGTATTCTGGACCCTCTTGAGCAACAAATTTTGCAAGTTCTGCCGCAATATACTCAAAAAGAGCCTGTAATCACATTCGTTTTTTAGATTTGAGAGATCTTACATATAAATCAACTTACATTTTGCTGAAAATTGGTTCGAGGACACAACACTTACATCTGAAGTTCCAGTCATCAGATTGGGAGGTATTGACGCCTCGGTGAATTCTTGGTTAACTAGACCAACACCCTTGCCTCCCAATTGCACTCTCAACACACGGAAATTGGTTCCCCCAAGGTCCAATGCATAATATACTCCCTCCTCATCACTGAAACAGGATAAACAAAAGAAAAGACTGACTCAAACAAACCAAGGACCCTTCTATAAAGGGATTATAATGTTGCAAAATCACTTTCTGTTATCAATTATCAATTTAGATTATATATTTCATTATCAAAAATTAACCGCCACATATAGTGAATCAAAAACACTTCTATTACACATATAAATGTGCATAAGCACACACACACACACATATATACTATGACTCATGATCAACTTTTTTAATAGATTCCTGAAATGTTAAATCATACGAGTGTTGAAGATAGAATACCCAGATGGGAGATTTTCCTAAATCAATCAAATCTTAATATGCTATCCAATAATCCATATGAATCATATGTATCACAGCCATCAATTAACCCACCACTCCCCACATATAATTAAATAAAAGAGTCGATCAAACAACCTTCCTTTACAAATATAAAAGCACACACATATTCACTCATATATACAATGCTGATCAACTTTTTCAATATATTCCTAACATATTTGGATCATACATGTCATAGCCAAAAGCGGATCAAACAAACTTCCATCACACATATAAATTCACACTCACATGACAAACACATATATGATTTATGAGTATTAGTCCTAACATATTAACTTGGGTTCGGAAAGTGAATTCGGGGGATTTATGGATTATAAAAATTAAAAATTATACATATTATACATGTTTGTGAAAAGCAGAATACCCAGTTGGGAGACAGTCCACATAGCTGATGATCATCTTGAGCTTGCTGCCACCTTCAGAGGCAAGCCCTGCATGCATCTCCACAGTCATAGCATCCGCCACTTGCTTCAACTTCGCCACAGGGATCGCACACTTCTCTTCAAACTCCTTCAATATCCCCATTGCCTTCCCCCACTTCCCTTCCTTCTTCATCCTCCGCCGTACCACCACCGCCGCCGCCAACCCAACGGCCACCGCTACGGCACACCCAACCACCACTGTCGCCTTCCCCATTCTTTCCCAGCGAAAAACACAGTCTTTCCCACGACCCAGTAACCAAAAACAGAAAAAATCAAAGATATATACTAGAGCAACGAGTTAACAATGCTGATGATACATATACATTGATACATGAAATAGGAAGGTTTGACTGTTCATAATGAAAAAAATATTTTAATATTTATTAATGATAATCTAAAATGGGATGCTACCGAAGACTGATTCAAGATTCAGAGAGTGATGCGTGCATATTTAAGGAAAGAAAAAAGGAATTGTTGTAAACTTGGCAAGTGTTTTTTCTGTTTCTGTTTTTGGTTTTTTATAGTTTCTTCTCTACTGTTTACAGTACAAGTGTCATATGATTATTTAATGTAGTTTTGTTTTTATCGGATATGGATATTCACTATTCAGTGAGTGTTTTCAAACCAGTTACTAAAAAATAATTTTTATATTTGAATGTTGTTGGTATATAACAATAATAATACGAAAACTCAATGCATTGATTATTGATATGTTTTCAATAATAAATAAAGATGTTACCTTATTTAGCGCAGTCAATCTCAATTATTATCCACAAGTCTTGTTGCAAGAGCTAACNACATATGACTCATGATCAACTTTTTTAATAGATTCCTGAAATGTTAAATCATACGAGTGTTGAAGATAGAATACCCAGATGGGAGATTTTCCTAAATCGATCAAATCTTAATAAGCTATCCAATAATCCATATGAATCATATGTATCACAGCCATCAATTAACCCACCACTCCCCACATATAATTAAATAAAAAAGTCGATCAAACAACCTTCCTTTACAAATATAAAAGCACACACATATTCACTCATATATACAATGCTGATCAACTTTTTCAATATATTCCTAACATATTTGGATCATACATGTCATAGCCAAAAGCGGATCAAACGAACTTCCATCACACATATAAATTCACACTCACATGACAAACACATATATGATTTATGAGTATTAGTCCTAACATATTAACTTGGGTTCGGAAAGTGAATTCGGGGGATTTATGGATTATAAAAATTAAAAATTATACATATTATACATGTTTGTGAAAAGCAGAATACCCAGTTGGGAGACAGTCCACATAGCTGATGATCATCTTGAGCTTGCTGCCACCTTCAGAGGCAAGCCCTGCATGCATCTCCACAGTCATAGCATCCGCCACTTGCTTCAACTTCGCCACAGGGATCGCACACTTCTCTTCAAACTCCTTCAATATCCCCATTGCCTTCCCCCACTTCCCTTCCTTCTTCATCCTCCGCCGTACCACCACCGCCGCCGCCAACCCAACGGCCACCGCTACGGCACACCCAACCACCACTGTCGCCTTCCCCATTCTTTCCCAGCGAAAAACACAGTCTTTCCCACGACCCAGTAACCAAAAACAGAAAAAATCAAAGATATATACTAGAGCAACGAGTTAACAATGCTGATGATACATATACATTGATACATGAAATAGGAAGGTTTGACTGTTCATAATGAAAAAAATATTTTAATATTTATTAATGATAATCTAAAATGGGATGCTACCGAAGACTGATTCAAGATTCAGAGAGTGATGCGTGCATATTTAAGGAAAGAAAAAAGGAATTGTTGTAAACTTGGCAAGTGTTTTTTCTGTTTCTGTTTTTGGTTTTTTATAGTTTCTTCTCTACTGTTTACAGTACAAGTGTCATATGATTATTTAATGTAGTTTTGTTTTTATCGGATATGGATATTCACTATTCAGTGAGTGTTTTCAAACCAGTTACTAAAAAATAATTTTTGTATTTGAATAATAATACGAAAACTAAATGCATTGATTATTGATATGTTTTCAATAATAAATAAAGATGTTACCTTATTTAGCGCAGTCAATCTCATTTATTATCCACAAGTCTTGTTGCAAGAGCTAACCACTTTTTCCCAACCAAGGTCTTGCCTTAATGACACTTTTTCAACCAAAAAAAAAAAAAAAATTTAAAATACCATTTTTTTCACCCATATTTAATATTTTATTACCACCCAAAGCTAACTCTAACGATAAAAATTCTTTCCGTTATCACCATTGAACCTTTGGTCTCTTTCCTACAAAACCTCTCTCACTTCGACACTTAATTTCTCATCGATTGCCAACGATCGTAAAACTAAGATTTCATGTTCTTAACTGATTTTCAACTGATTTTAACGACGAATATTTAATCAATTATCACTATTCGATCCACCGACCTCTAATCTACAAAACTCCTCTTACTTTGGCTCTTGATAACTTCATCGAACGTCTGCTAAAAAAGTGAAGTACATTTTCAGTATTAACGAAATATAAATTTTGGATGAGAAATGACATTAAGGCAAACCTTAGGTAACATACTAAGCATTTCTAGATTTTTTTGGGAGTGGGATTCCATAATAAACCATTTCTAAATGGACTACATTATTATTTCCTAATTCAAATATAAAATAATGACTTCCACAATATTGCAATTATACCTATCATTCACATAAAAGAAAAAAGCCAATAGAGAATTATCTGAGAGAATTTTCTCACTAAATTTTACACTAATTTTTATTTTTATTTTTACTTTTATCACCGAAAGTGTTTAAACTAGTTTACGTATGCCTCAACTAATCTCTTAAAATCCTAAAATTATTGACCAAGTAAAAACTCCAATAACCACCTCTATTAACAAAAAAAAACTCAAACTTAAAAATTCATAAAATTTCTTTTTACGTTTTCACCATCAAATTACCCTACCTTAATTTCCACGAATTAGTTTTTGCATACTGTACATCAACTATTTATATGTAATTTAATTCTTTATTTACCTCATTTTCATAGATTTATTGAATTGTTTAAAATTTTGATTTTGATTTGATTTTAAAACCCTTTGGTTACACAAGGTACTAGCCAATATACTGTGGCATTATCCACCTTTAAATGTATGATGTAATGGCATAGAATAATGCTACATTCATCCGAAATAGCGCATTAAATTTGTGTATCGAATGACGTGACAGAATCATAACTATTTGATTAATATTAATTTATAATTAATCAACGGTCAAAATTATGTCACGCCATTCGGTGCACTAATCCCGATGTCTATTATTTTCCAATGGCAAATAATAGCCTAGTAATATAATAAAAATAAATTAAAAAAAAAAAAAAAAAAAAAGAGCAACAGAAACAGAGAGAGAGATCCTTTATTACATTACATCAGAGAGTATACACAAGGTGTGTAGAAAAGCACAATAACCTCATTTCATTCTTCCTTGAAGCAAAGAAACCAAATCCTAAAACAAGACACAAAACCCACCCCACGTTAAGAGGCTACACTAGGAGATAATCACACATACCCACTACCAGAAAAAAGGAAAAAAAAAAAAAAAAAAGACCTATAAGGCTATTTTTACTGTCTGCCATTTCAGTATTCACTCCAGCAACACGCTTTCAGAGCTTGGAATACCTCACTGCTTGTGCAGAACAGGATATATTACTAACAAGACGAAGGGGGAAAAAAAAAAGCTGTACAGAAAAGATGGCCAAGCTGCATCCCACAACTAGTTCTCAGATCATGCCTTACAGGTGTCTGCTCGAGAAGATAGACTAACGAGCATGCCTGAAAAAAACGAAAGAAATGAAAGCCAGCAATTAAATAGCACTTACCAGAACTGCTGGCTTCCTCTCTATATTCTTTTACCGATGATATAAGGGTTTCTCATGTAACTTCTGATCTCTTAGGCTGTTGACGTCAAACTCAACCTGCTATAAAGAAAGACAAAAGAAAAGCAAAAAAAAAAAGCAGTATAAAGAAAGGCATTGTAGGAAGAATACATGAAAAATCTGAGATTTCAAATTATGAGGTGCATGCCTTAACACTGGTTTCTGCACGGTTTCTGAGTCAATGCTGCCCATGGATTGAAGAACTTCTCCAAGCCCAGCATTTGGCTTCACAAAAAGAACAAAGAAACAAAATCACAGAGATTAGGTAGATCTTCAAAATGAAGAAACTTTTAAGTTTTGAAAGTATTTCTTACACATGGTCCTCCAAATAGGGTTAAAATACCCAAACTATCCAACTTCTAAGATGTGATCCAAATGACCCAGCCAGGATTTTAGTCATCAATCAAGTAAAATCAAACAAAAAAATAAATAAATAAAGTTTTTCGTTAAATCATTCTTTATGTCTTCAGTGTATTTGATTTTAAAATCTACATGACTTAAGATTATAAGAATTCGGCACTTAACAGAAAGCATTTCACGAATAGAACCAAGAGCTAGTAAAATCAAAACTAAAGCTCTAAAGCATATAATCATGAAAGAAAAATAGAAGTTAAGGAACTTATATTCAAAACCTCTAACTCTCCCTGCAATCTGTTGCGAAATACTCCATTGCCATCAAGATTCCCATTCTCCAAAAGTGATTCAGAATCTGCGTCACAAGAATCGCTTTGAGAAGATCCTAGGTTATTACTCCCTTCAACACTCCCATCAATGCTTCCATTATTTCCCTCAGTGCTACCTGCTACCGACTCATTTCCAACATCATCACTTGTCAGGGATGTGATAATGCTGGAATTTGAGATGTTTACAACCTCCACAATCTCCTGATCCAGTATCTTTTTATTCGAGTTAATTGGGCCTATATTTGATCCAGTCATAGAACTCAAGCTACTTGGTGCCATACGCTCTGGTGATATAGAATCCTGCCTCTGCGGGCTAATAGACTGTCGTTTTCCTGGAGTATCTTGCTCCACAGCATCTGGATCTTTTTTCCTTTTAAGCAACCTATTACCGGACCCAGTCTGATGTGCATCACCATCTTCACAAGATTGCTTATCAGACTGCAGCTGGGACGGAAATCTTGGGTGCCGAGATCGTTTATAACCTTCTGGAAAAACATAAGTAGGAATCTGCTTTCGACGAACATGAGAAACACAAATTTCCATCCCTGGTTTCCAAAACATATACATATTAATTGAATGCTTAAATTCTTCAACTGTCCCACGAATATCAAACTGCTGGCCTTCCTGAACCATCTCTCCTGGTTTTCTTTGTAAACCCATAAAGAATGCACAGTGGGAGCATGGCTTGGATGAATCTACATACTCATGAGGATAAGGATGGCACTGCAATTTGCCATATGTGTCACGCTCAATCTGCATATGTTACAATGGAGGCAGGAGGATACAATTAAGGTATAAAAAACTTGGGAATCTGTTCACACAAATTTGGAAAAGTATAGATA